ATGGGGGGGTCTGTGTGTGGTTGGGGGGGGGGGGTTAAAAGTCCATAAGAGTCTTGACTCAGTCTTTGGCTATATTGATAATTTGAACTTCACATATGTAGCAGGTCTGAAAACGGGGCTCTGAGGGCAAGACCCAGCAGCCCAGCAGCAAGGAGGGGTACTTTAATTCTACTGTGATTTAATTAATGAAGAAACATTTAGATCAGAATGACCTTCAACTCACAGTTCTCTTTTAGCCCTTGCACCACAGAGAGCGCTACAACTTACCATAAACCCTACTGCAAAAGTCCTCCAGGTGAAAGCACCACAAAAGCCTGTTACTGGACCTTGAGTTAACATTTTTGTCAAAGTACTATTTGCAAGGTCCAGAATGAACTTTCACATTCAAAAGACTTTCCTTATAAACATCTGGTACAAAATATAATCAAATCCCAATATATTCAGTTGCTTTTAGACACTTAGCCAACGATTCAATTTGTTGATAACATCATCATTAATCATTTATTTAAATAAAACGATCTGGTTGCTGCTTTTTTAAATGTACTCAAGTACTGTACTTGTAATTGATTATCTGTAAGTGCAGCAAGAATGGAAATGTATTCATATGAGGGAACATATTCAGCCAAATTAATTTTACATGCATGTATTATATTTATACAATCATATAGTTTTATCTTACATTCATACAGTCTTTGATATGAAATGTATATCTGAAAGTATACATAAAGTATGTGTGTGTGTTTGTAAGAAAATTCATGAATATGGGAGGGAAAAAAGACATAGATACTGATAAGAGGCCCAAAATAAATTATGTAATCACCAGCCACTCATCATTCTGCCTAATGAATAACATTCTGGAGTATGTGGTGGAGTATATTTCTACTCTTTCTTATGTAAGAGTACTTTTTCTACAAACTGCCATTGATTATAAACTGAGTGCCTTTGGGTTATTTGACTGTTGGTTTGGCACCGTCATCTACTGTTACTGCTTTGGGCTGTGGCACCTTGTAAAACACATTTGTCCTTTTTTTTATACATTTTATAGTCAACAGAATTATACTAATACTACTATTAATTAAATTAAGTGCTCATGAAAATAAAAATTTCAACACTTCTAACATATTTTCAGAAAGTTTTTCACAGCAGCATAGCAGACCTGAGACTAGTACACTGTTAGGTTTACAAGAAAAATGTAAGACTGTGCCATTCCCTGAGATAGCACATTATGAATATTTTACAACAATATGCTGAACAGTAGTAGCAGTAGTGGTGATAATACTGGCAGGTTTGATAGAAATAATATAAACAATTTTAGAATGTATAATGCTAAATACAACGTTTATGCCTTTCACCACACTAAAACATGTACCCAGACTAAAATTCTGATCACATCATCACCACGCATACACTATGTACACAGTGCAGTGTGTAACAGCACAACATGCAGTATTTATTCATTTGAATCCTGTTTCTGACCTTTCCTACAAATCTTCCCTTCCCTCTCCCACACGTTCTGTCACTTTCCACCACAGACTGAAATGCCTCGAAAATGATCTTGGCACCGATCCGATCAACAAGGCCTTCGTTTCCAATACTAGCTACAAACTCATCCAAAAGGTTCAGAATTTAACAAAACACCTTGATATTTTTGCACAATGGCTGTGAAATAAGAGCAGCTTACAAAATGGCCCTGACTGTAAGAAGTGTGTGTGTGTGTGTGTTCATTTGTCTGTTAAAGGTGATTTCTGGACTCTTTCAGATTCTTGACATGCATCCTTCATGATGAGGACAAACTGAATGGCTTTTGATCAGGGAGCAACCAAGAACACAGCTTGAAACAGCAGAAAATGTTGGCACAACAACACCGCCAGCAGCAGGAAAAGAAGCACACAAATCATTGTGTCAACAGAAAATAAAACAACTACTATGTTTAAAAAAAAACAGATAAATTGTAGGGCAATGATGGTAAACAAACACAATCCCACAATCCTGTGAGGCCTGTTTAAAGCAAGCAGAAACATGTACAAACAGTTTACTGGAGTATTTATCTGTCAGTATGATATAATGTTAACGCTTTAAGTCACGCCAAACAAATTTAGTGCAACAGAAAAACCGATATGTACTATAAATCTGATTACAAATACAAAAATGTCTCAGTGAAAGAAAAAAGAAAAGGTTCAGTTCCTTCTCCTGACTGATGAAGACAAGGGAAGAGGCAACCACACCGCTGTGATGGATAACATGGGCACATTTTTATATAACATTAGCATTTAACACTGATGCCATTCAAGTGAATCCTCACTGGTGACACACTATTAACACAGAGAGAAATAAGCCTGTGTTGTTTTATCAGCACTGTGGGAGCAGAGCCATGCCATCAATTATCCTAATAAAATAAATAATTAATGTACAGCAGATAATCAGTTTAAAGACAATAAGCTGGCAGATAGATCTGCAACGCAGTAAGTGTATCCTATTTGCCACACCAAGGGTACTAAAAGTCAGGAGTGAAGTGCACTGCACTGCAACCACATGTGGACATGCAACATGGCAAAGTGTATGTAATGTATGAGAGTGGGACTATATGGACAGTCAGGGGTGGTGATACTGTAGAATGCTACCACACTTGAAATAAAATAAAAAGCAGATAGCTGCTCAGACCTACGCTGGAGTAAAAACATTTGTCAGTGTCAGTGAAAAAGTTGGATCAGTTGGAACACTTACGAAGGTCTAACTCTGAGCTTATAAGAGCTATAAAAAAAAAAGGCGGCCGTGCGGCAGGACGGAGGATTCTACTCTGTGTTTCTGTTTGCTGCTGTCTGTGTAACCCAGCCAGCCTACTGGAGTAACAGCGGAAGTGGCAGGCAAGCTTCATTTGGCACAGTGAGGGGTCCTGCTGTGGCTGACCAGACATAATGACAGGCTCGATCCACAAAGGCCCGCACCAAAGAAAGCTTGCCACTGAATGAAGACCGCCATTAATAACTCAGTGGGGTCCTACTGCAGATGGGTTCATTTAGAGAAAAAAGAGGATTAGTGTGGAAGAATATGGTCTGGGAGGAAAGGAGGAAAAAGAAAAGAAAAAAGGAGTGCAGTTGGAGAGTAACTGCATGAATGAATGCATTAATTAATCGAATGAACGAATGAATCGCCTGTTTTGTTTGCTACAGCCACAACCTATTTGGTCCATTTCCCAGCACTCCGGTGCAAGTGTGGCCTCATTAAACAGCCCGTCACGTCTCGTCAAGTGGTCTCCAACACCGAGCGACCAAGCTCACAGGGAGCAGGCTTCTCATTAACACCACAACATATTTACAAACAACAACACCGGGGTTCGCTTTCTGCCCACAGAGAGTAAATCATCATGTATCAGAAAATACACTTAACAAATATAAAGAAAGGTAAAGGTTCTTGGAAGCCAGCTCACAGGGGCAGGATCTGATTCTGTTACAATCCTTCATCTTTTTTTAAGGGATAACAGGAAATCACAAGCCACAGTGTCACTGGAGAGAAATCCCAATGTCTCAAAGTACAACACCATCAGCATAAATGCTGATTGTCAGACACACTGAAATGCCTCGGATGATGCTGACTCAAGCTGTGTGCGATGCTAGGTCTAATTAAAATGTGCTTTCATTCTTCCAGCCCTGCACAATGTGCAGCAACTGAGTAAGAAGAGTCCAGATTTCAGACACTGAGGACAAGCAGCAATCTGGTCCTCGACCCATACCACATAATAACCACATGCTAATCAGCAAACCTTCCCCAGTCCTATGAAGTGGGAGAACAAGATTCGCCCATTGAACTTGTAGTGGAAAAAAGGCAGGTGACACAGGTGATTAAGCCAGTTCTTACCAGAGGAATGGCCTCGATTGGTGGCGTCGTGGTCACTGTCTCCCTGCTCACTGTCTCCGTGGCCGCTGTCTTTGGAGCTGACCAGGTCTGCTTCCTGAAATGCCGAACTGAAACCAAAGACATTTGTTCAAAGAATTACCTAGCATTTTGATGTTTTCGACAGCAATTCCAATCCCTTTCTAATCTTTCTGATGCCATCTTATCATCTGGAGCATCATTATTGTAATGAGAGCTGTCAGTGAATGAACTAGACACAAATAAGAGGTTTATTACAGGGGGATGTGAGAGTGAGCAGCAGAAGGGCCGATCTCCATATTTACCTGTTGACACGTCTCGGCCTGTCAACCAAGTAGCTGAGTTCAGCTCGTTGGTGTTTGGTCTGAAAAAGAAAGGGCAGTTTTCAGTGCATGCTGCTTTAGCACCTTATGTAACATGATTAGCATAGTGAAAAAGGGATCAGGAATAAAAACATCACCACCATCGAGCCCACACAGTGCCATTGTTGATGTTAGTTATGAAATGAACCTGTGCTGTATTCAACCATTATACATATCACTCATATCTGGTGAGGAGGTTGAGGAGGTGTGTTTTCCCATGGGGTGGAGGGAGCACAACTCTACATATACGTTGCCAAGGCACAAGATAAAGTAATGCACCTATTCAGGCTGGCACAGCCGAGAGACACATCTTTGTGCTAGTGCAACTCAGCAACATTGTGACCAGTATGCTTAATGTGAACGCTCTTATCCCTAGGGACTGGTCTCACACACACGCACAGACCCACCCAAAACAACCAGCAGCCTCTGAGCCACCAAAATGTTATCCTTACACACTTGTCCTTTTTTTGTATAATTTCAAAGAATTAGGAGCATAACATGAATTTGCTGTTTCAGGGCTGACTTCCCTGAGGACTGCTAAAGGCAACATGTCAGCAACAGCAGTCTAATCATTCTGTTTGCTTTAATGCCTTTCCTGAAATAAGTCAGAGGATGCTGCGGCACACTGTGTATTTTAGTATTCAGTGACAGCCATCTGTAGACCTGGCATGCCACGGAACTGAAAAAAAAAATTTAGAAAATGCAAATGGCTTCTGTTTGAAACATACTTTGTATCTGTTATGTAGAGGAGTACATAAGTAGTAACAAACAGGCAGGCTTTAAGTGTCCAAGGGGAGGTCCTGTGTATGAATCAGGTTTTAGACATGCTGAGGGCCTTTGAATGGAAGGGGAGGTTAAACTGTAGGTATGAGAGGGACTCTTACCTCATTTGATAAAATGCTGCCATTTGATATGATGTCAGGCTGCTGGTCTGTGTACCCTGTCACTATGGCCCCGCACGGGTTGTGATCGGTGTCTGTGCTCCTAGATGGACTACACGGCTTTAGGAACATGAGGTCGGTTTTGGCAGACTCAGGAGTCAGACATACCTGGTAGCAATAGTTCTGGTTTTGATGGTGGGAGCCGAAGCTCCCTGACTCCTCCACAGGGACTTGAGCCGTACCAGCCCCACTGACGTTAACAGCACTTTGCACCAGCATGATATCCGACTTGCTGAGCTTTTTCTTACGGGCCCGGCCCTGCCGTGAGCAGCAAGAGCTGCAGCTCAAACAGCAGTCACTGGTCAGGCAGGTGTAAAAGTTAAGCTTTTTGTCCTTCTGGCAGCGCACGGCCAGCACGATCATGACCAAGAGGAAGATGAAGGAGACTGAGCCCAGGGCAATAATGAGGATCAGGGTGAGGTCGAGGGTACCGTCTTTGGCCTTGGCAGTGCCTGCTCGGTCCCCACCACCACGGCCTTCAGCCACACTGTCCACCAGCATAACCAGCACGCTTGCACTGGAGGACAGTGGTGGCTGACCATGGTCTCTCACCTCAATCAGCAGATCGTACAACTGGTGGGGGTCTCGCTTGGCTGACACCCGCCTCGCTGTCCTTAGCTCACCTGTCCTCCAGTCCATCCTGAACATGCCATTCTCATTCCCCCTCTGTATGCTGTAGGACAGACGAGCATTCTCACCATCATCCGCGTCCATAGCCACAATGCGGGTCACCAGGTAGCCTGGCTCAGCTGAGCGGGGCAGGGGCTCCTTAGCTGTGCCATTTTTCCCCAGAGGGGCCAGCACCAGTGGGGCATTGTCATTCTGGTCCACAATGATGACTTTGACTGTGGCATTGGAGAAGAGCTCTGGTGTGCCCCCATCTCTGGCCTGGACCATGAATGTGAAATCCTTCAGCTGCTCATAATCAAAGGACCTGAGTGCATACAAATAGCCTGTCTCCTCGTTTATTGACACATATGTTTTGACTGACATGCCCTGAATATCACATTCTAATATGGAGTAGGTGATGAGTGCATTCTGCCCGATATCCGGGTCCAGAGCCGTTACTGCGTGTATGTAAGCCCCTGGCACGTTGTTCTCTGTCACATACACGTCATATATAGGCTGAGTAAACGTGGGCGCGTTGTCGTTCTCATCTGACACCTGGACTCGTATAGATTTACTGGTGGCGAGAGAGGGTGTCCCTTTATCCCGCGCGACCACAGTGACGGAGTAGGAGTCTGCCTGCTCCCTATTCAACGGCCCGTCGGTCACTATGGTGAAATAATTCCTGAAGGAAGATTTTAATTTGAACGGGACATCACCGAGGATTTCCACGTGGATCTGTCCGTTCTCCTCTGAGTCCCGGTCAGTCACACTCAGCAGCGCAATGACGGTACCGGGAGCCGCCTTTTCGCTCACCGACTCGGTAACAGTACTGAAGGTTATCTCGGGTGCGTTGTCATTCACGTCGGTAACTTTGACCAGCACTTTGCAGTGCGCGGGCACGGCGTTTGGCCCTAGATCCTTGGCCTGGACAAAGATCTGATACAGGTTGCTCTCCTCGAAATCCACCTCTCCGCGCACCTCGATGCGCCCGGTGCGTGAGTCGATGCTGAACAAGTCCTTTACGCGACTGGAGATGTGATTACTGAAGGAATAAACGATCTCCCCGTTCAGTCCCTCATCCAGGTCGGTGGCGTTCAGCTGAATGACCAGCGTACCCACGGGTGCATTCTCCGAGAGACTCACCGTATAGACGGGCTGGTCAAACACCGGCACGTTATCATTAGAGTCCAGCACTTTGACCACCAGCAGCGCAGTGCCAGTCCGTGGAGGCTGACCTCCGTCCACCGCTGTTAACACATATCTGTGCGCCGCCTGCTGCTCCCGGTCCAGTGGCTTCTCCAAGACCAGCTCCGCGAACTTGTTTCCGTCCGTTTGGGTCTGCACATCCAAGTGGAAGTAGTTGTTAGTGGTGATATCATACGTGCGTAAAGCGTTAGAGCCCACGTCCGGGTCGAACGCGCTCTCCAGTGGGAAACGGGTGCCCGGAGTGGCACTCTCGGAGATCTCCACCGTAATGTCTGTCTCTGGGAAGCTGGGCGGGTTGTCGTTAATGTCCACCACCTCGATTTCAACCCGAAACAGCTCCAGCGGGTTCTCCAAGAACACCTCCATGTTGAGCTGGCAGCTGGCGCCCTGCTTGCAAATCTGCTCCCGGTCGATTTTCTCGTTAACAAACAGGACGCCGTTTTCCAGGTTCACCTCCAGGTACGGTGTGCGAGAGCTGGGCACTACCTGGAAGCGGCGGGAGCGGCGGGAGGCCAGTTTGGTAAGGTCCAGTCCCAGGTCTTCGGCGATATTCCCCACCAAGGTGCCATGGTCCGCCTCCTCCGGCACAGAGTAGCGTATCTGAGAGAGCACTCCATCCGTGAAGCACAGGACAATCAAAAGCACAATCATCGCCAGAAAAACAAGTGCACTTCGGTAAAAAAAAAAAATAAATAAAAAGCAAGAAATTATATATATAAATAACCGTATCTCCTGTTAATAGGCAAAATGTCAATTCCCATCACCCACTTCAATCGGGAGGTAAAAGTCTCCAAAATGCGTAAAAGTCTTTAAAAACGTGTAAGGCATCCGGAGAAATCTGTCTCATTAAAAGAGATGCATTTTGACATTATAAAGGAGTTTTAAGGACAGCATCAGTATTTTTTTCTGTTCTAGCTCCGCTGTCTTGCTTTTTAGCTGCGTCCCGGAGAAGCTACAGCGCACATTCCAATGAAGCGCAAAGGAGAGATGAAGCCAGTCTAGAAGGGAGCTGGAAAAAAATCATAGTCCATGGAAGTAAGGTGCAGTTTCGCCTTTCTGTGATGGCCCCTTATCAGAAAATAAATTTCATTCTCTTTATAGTTCTGGCTCTGTCTCCTCTTAGCACCCTGTTCCCTCACTGCAGTCTCCTCTACTCCACTCTCTACTAATGCTGTTCTATCAACTATTTGCTTTTTTCCCCGCATGGCACCTCCCTCTCGCAGTCCCCGCGGCTGTAAATCACGCCGAGAGCTCTTCCCTGATTGGATAGCGGGGTTGCCAGTCAAAGTTCGCTCGGCCCATGTCTCCCTCACTGTTTATCTATGTCTCTCTACCTCCGTTTGAGCTCGGACAGGCATCTCTTTAGAATACCTGACGCAAAGGAATAGAGGAATAGAGAACAGCAAGACTGGTCATTTATGACTCTAACCCCTCAGCAGCCAAATCTTTATTACATTCCCAACCTGCCCATGATATAAAGCGCATCATCTAATGAACCACTGAACCGCCGTGTGATTAGAGTGAGTAGATGACTTGTTGACTTGGTGGGGCCCGTGTGAGCCTAAGGACAGTCTGGGTGAACGAGGTTAATGCATGCAAATATTGTCATATGTATGCAGTGAATCATTCACCATTCATGTGCTGCTCTCAAGACTGTGCGCTATAATTACACCCAGTAGTAGTAACGTTATTAACTCTCCTGCAGCCACACAGCACCGGGACAGAGGCAGGGAGAGCGACAGATCCGCGGACCTCATACGACCCCTAGCGACGTAAATGCGAACCAGGTTCTGGTTTATATTAAAGACCGTGTATAGTCTGTGGAGTGATGTTAAGGCAAAATGTTTAAACTGTGACAACACAGGGACAGTTCATTTATGTGTGGTGGAGTGACAGGACCTAGAGGCACAACTGGAAGATGGTTCAGGACAATCAGCATTTTCTGTAGAGCAGCAAACATCGAGAATTCTTTACTGAAAATAAGAAACAAAAGTGCAGTGGCATTTGAATTATATGTTTACCGAGTTTAATAGTTTTATATTCAACACAAAGAAAAAGACAAAAAAAAAACAAGAATCATATAAGATAGCATCTTACTATTCAGCTCAGCACAGAGGAAAACAAAAAGTATATAAATATGCATACAGTCGTTTTTTAAAATCAAACTTAAAACAAAGGGCTCAGTGGTGAAATGACCTATTGCTTCGGCCATCTATAAATAAGGCTGAGCACATTTTAAGTCAACTAATGTCTTTTTCTGCTGTGAACATGTTAATTTATAACATATAATATTTTGGTCTGATTCAGAACCCAAAACATGTTATCCGTGTCATCCTCCTTGAAAACAGAGCAGATAATAAGTTTTTTATTTTGTACATAACCAGCAAATGTTGAGCAATGGAAAAGTACAGTCAAGCTGATGTGTTGATGGTTTGGTTGTTGAAAATACAGCAAGAGTATTTTGTTTCAAAACACTGCATTTCTTCATTTGACATCTCAAGGTCCACTCACTTATTTATGCCAGAGCATTTGACTGCACCACATGGTCCTCATTTGCAGATGAATTTTCTTCAACTGTCATGGATCTGCAGACGGTTAAACAAAGTGAAATATTCATGGACAAGATCAAAAGTCTTTAGTCATCATTTGCAAAGAGTAACCCTGACTATTATAACTAAACACCACAGGTGATAATGACATCTGAATATGTTGAAATCTGGAAATAATGAAATATATATGAAGTATAAAGGAACGTCAAGCATAAAAATAGAAATAAACGTGCTTTGTGCACTTGTATGAATATTAGTTCACCAAGGAAGTCTCACTGAGGTTGGAAAACTTTTTTGCAAAGGGAGACAAGACCTAAACGGCAATAAAACAAAAGAGTGGATAAAACTAAGACAGACAGTTACTAAAGAAGATGTGTACAACAGAGTTTATAGTATTAAATTCATTCAGAAAATAAGCTTTTCCCATTTTCTTTTCGCAGTCTATTCCAAGAAGCAGAAGCAAAAAACATGAAGGCTACTTTTCAAAAAGAGACCATTGCACATGGTATCAAATCCATATGGCTCAGGAGGTAGAGCAGGTCGTCTCCTAACTGAATCCTGGTTTTTTCCACTCCGCATGCTGAAGTGTCCCTGGGCAAGACACTGAACCCCAAGTTCAGCGGCATTGAAAAGCACTGACAGTGACAAAAAAATCAAAGGAGTGTCACAGAAAAAAACTATATTGGCATTGAAAAAAATCAGAAGATTGTCATTTTTCCAGCAGTAATACTTTTTTAATGCCACCGTTTTTTCCCCAGTAGAAATGCATCAATCCCAATGTTTGCTTTTTCAGATATGGTTTTCTTTTCAATGCCAAGCTTTACTTTTTCAGTGCCAATAACTAAAGTCATCAATCTGGCGCCATAAAGGCCAAGTGTCAATTCACAAAAATAAGATGAAGTGGAGATGATTTATAGTTAACACAGTTAGTTAAATTTATTAAGTAAAGGTATGGAATGCAACCTGCACAACCAGTGCAGGAGAAAATGTCAGAAAAATCTATAAAACATCAGACTGCCAAAATAGTAGCAACACAAAAAAGGAAAAGAAGGGCAAAAAATAGCTAACAAAAAGTAAAATGTTTATTTATAGCATTTGCACAGATTGAAACAATTTTCTATTTGTGAAACATTTTTTTCTAAAACTCTTTATTCTCTCCTTGATAATCTAATCCTGATTTGTCTAATCAGTAGTCTAGATGGGGGAAAACAGTATATTGGTCCTTTATTGTGATTATTCATAAACTAAACTAACTTCAAAGTGGGTGTCACTAAGAGTTAAGGGTTTTTCTAGGATGTCTAAAAGCCTTTCACAACATTCAGAGGTGTAAAACAGAGAAAATGTCTCTGTATTGTAACATCCACCTTAACTGTCAAATCAGAAGCCAATGTCGTACTCTCTACTAGCATTTTCCCACTCTATACAGACCTAAAATTTATTAGCCCCATTCCACACGGTGTCATCTAACATTACTGTGTAGGCGACAGTCCCATAAGATCTCACAGAAAGGCTACTACTGAGGTTAATCACAGCTAACATTAGCTATATTAGCTATAGCCTGTAGCTAACATGAGCACTTGCTGCTGCAGACCTCTACCATACCGTTAGTTAAAAGTTAGTTAGCATAAAGTTAGTTAAAAGTGAGCTTTAACGTAGCTCAGTTTTGTGAGTAAAGACACCAGCAGAGAGAAGCACACAGTAATCTGAGAGCTTCAGCTGAATTCTGGGAAACCACTGCAGTAAATATACGGCCGTGCTCTGCAGAGGAGAGGGCAGTCCTCTCCTCATGGATCTCAATCTGAGTATGCAACTTACACTCTCCTTAGCCCCGCACCTCAAAGCCCTCCCCTCCACACCAAAAGTGACAGACGTGAAACCGAAAGAAAAAACACTGACACTGACAAAAAAATCAAAAGATTGTCATTTTCCCTGTACTAAAACATTTTTATATGTATGTTTTTTTTTTCCAACACAAATACTTCAATGCCAGTGTTTGCTCTTTTAGTTATGGTTTTGTTTCTTTCACTTACAGCCTTGTTTTCATTGCCAAGCTTTATTTTTCATTGCCAAAGAATAAAGTTATTGATCTGGCACCATATACCTTGGCCATAATAGAAAGTGTTTGCCTTCACTGTGAGCTCAGTATCTGTGCAAGCTCAGCTGAGTCAAGGAGCAGAGCAACTAAAGTTAGACCAAGTGCTCCCCCTAGTGAATGACTACAACACTACACCATATACACTACACAGTGTGGTCTGTCTCCACTGACTATATTGCTGTGCTGAAGTCCAAAATGCCCCCAAATTTATATCCATGAGATACTGTGAATAAAAAAAAAAACACACACACACACACACACACAGCAGCCTAAGTGCTTGCATCATGCTCTCTCTGGCACACCCACAAACAGGTCACTGGAGGAGAAACATGAATTGGCTTCAAGAAGACATTTTCTAAATCAAGTCTCATCAAGTCAGTGGTGCAGTCAGACATGCATCACTGTCTCCTCAGATAGCCAGTGTGAGCCACGAGAGTAGGGGCTATCAAGGCTTTCTGCATGTGCAGATGCACATGGTAATCCACAGTGAGCACTGATACAGAAACCAAATTAACAGCCATGAACAATAACAGATTTAACTACCCTAATGTGGTTATAGTTCTCTCATCATTTCCCATGCATGCCACTTTACAACTCTCACACATATACACACAAACAAATAGCCCTCTTATCCTGGTTTACATGGTCAAAACACTTCATTCTCATGTCATGGCGAGGGCTAAAAATACAGCACAGCAACCTGTTATTATTGTCTTTTGGTGGGTAAAAATAATGGCCGTCTCACACATCAAAAGTTTCCCACACAATGAGAAATAGGGAAAAAAAGAACAACAAAGCCTAGCATTTAAAATGGGTGCCCTAAAGCAGTCCCACCCATTAGATAATTAGAGCAAGAGAAACAGCATGTAATCATCAAGTGTTATAAAGCTACAGGCACCACAGAGCATCATATAATCTAAACTAAGCACTGTCTCTCCTCCTCCTCCCCCTGTCAGTTGCTACAGAAGTGGAGTCACACTCGAGGCAAATTTAGATATGAGGGAAGACAAAAAACAATAACCTTTGCCCACATACAAAACAACAATTTAATATGAGCATTTCCAACACTACAACATGTAAGAATCACATATAAGTAACCACATTACAGATTTTATGAATGTAGATAAGCGTGCCCTTAGCGTGAATGCAGAGACATTTTGCAGGGAAAACACACTTTAGTATTTATCCAAGGTTAATGCTGAGGTCAACAAGTATCTGTCTAGGCCTGTCTAGGACACAGACTGACATCATCTACAGAATATACTGTATATTATAAAGATAACAATCATATTTAAATAATAAAATATTCACAGTGTAGGTTCCTAATGAGGATTTCTTCAACTATTAAACATATCTGAATTAATTTGCAAATTTTGCTGTAGGCCTGTGTAACTGTGTAAGTTATACATTTTATAATGAAAGAAAAACAGTAAATTCAAATACATTTGAATCATAAAACAAGGCCAGGACATGTACAAGTCTTATAGTAAGACCACTGCTCCTCAGTACAGA